TTGGCAATAAAGCTTTGTTGGCACACAAACCACACCCATTAGTTTACCTCAGGTCAACTACAAGGTTGGAGCCCAGCAGTTGCAACAAAGACCATATGACCCACAAAGGCATATTTATTATTTGACCTTTTATAGCAAAATGTGTTGGTTCCTCCCCTGGCTTAAGACAAAAAGCAAAACTTTTGATGTTCCTGGTACGACTCTTCCCAACCAGTCTTTTCTCCCTGTGAGGAAACCATTACCTAAATTTTGTGTTATTTCTTTTTACCTTTGTAGTTTGTATGTATTCCTAAACAAAAAGCCATTTAGTTTTTCTAACTTGAACTCTGTATTAATAAAATCATACTGTACAGTATGTCCTTGTGTGACCCAGTTCTTCACTCAGCTTCTAGATCAGAGGCATAATCATATTGATAGTGCAGTTCATTTTCATTGATCCGATCAATATTTCATTGTGTGACTACATCAGTCTATCAGTTGTTGATAGTCATGAGAACTACTTCCAGGATTTACATAAAACAAACAAAAAGCCACTGTGAACATTTTTGTACATAAATCCCACCATATGTGACCAAGGAGTATGTGTATATATACAAAATGTCACCTAGGAGTAGAATTGCTGAGCGATGGCATATGTAAATAGTTTTGTAGCACATACCATTCAAACAATAGTAAATAACATTCTCAAATACATTTTCAATATGACACCTGGCTTTGTCAACCACCAATTTCTTTGCAAACCTAGTGTTTCAATCACTTTAGGTTTTGTTTGTTTTTTAGAGACAAGGTCTCACTCTGTTGTCCAGGCTGGAGTGAAGTGGTATGATCATAATTTACTGCAAAGCCATGATCCTGGGCTCAAGGGATCTTCCTGCCTCAGCATCCCAAGTAGCTAGGACTACAGGCATGTGCTACCATGATAATTTTTAATTTTCTTTGTAGAGACAGGGGTCTCACTATATTGCGCAGGCAAGTCTTAAACTCCTGGCCTTAAGCGATCCTCCCACCTTGGCCTCCCAAAATGTTGGGATTACAGGTATAAGTCACTGTGCCCAGCCATAATCACTGTAGTTTTAATGTGCTTTTCTATGATTACTAATGTGGTTGAGTATCTTTCCATATAGTTCTTGGCCATCTGTATTTCTTCTGTGAAATGCTCATTCATGCCTTTTGCCAATTTTTCCCTTGACGGGCTTGTCTTCTTTCTAATTGTTGTAGTTCTGTACTTATTTCTGATATTAATTTTGTCAGTTTGTTATACCGCAAATCTCAGCTTGTGACTTTTCAGCCACCGAACAATATCTTTTAATGAATGAAAGTTGACAATTTTAGTATTTTCTTTTATACAGTGTGTATTATGGATCATCTTTAAATAGGCCGTTCTCTACTCCAAAAATCATTGAGGATGATTCTACTTTGTCTTCTAAATGTTTTAAAATTTTGCCTTTCACATTTAAGTTCTTGACCCATTTGGAATTTAGTTTTGTGTGTACAATAGAAACTGTCTTCCTTTTCTTTTCCATGTAGACAGCCAATGATTAAAAAGTCCATTGATTCCCCACAGATTCTACAATGCCACCATTTACAATATAAAGAACCCATATACATGTGATCTGTTTTGGGGCTCTCTATTCTGTTCCAACAGCCTATATGTGTACCCTCATCCACTACTAGCATCTTAATTACTACAGCTTTATAGAAAGCTTTGACAGCTGGTAAAGCAAGCTTTCACAACCCATTCTTTTTTGTCAAGTATGTTGTGGCTCTTTCTCTGGCTTTTCCATATTAGTTTTAGAATCAGCTTGTCAGGTACTATGTAAAACCCTATTGGGGTTTTGAATAGAATTGTGTACAATTTATACATCATTTTGAAATGAAATAACATCTTCAAGATATTTTCTTATTCATGAACACAGTAGTGCTTTCTGTCCCCTCTACTGAGGACCATAAAAGTTTTCCAGTTTATTATGTTAATATTTAAGTTATATTAATAGATTTCCTAGTATCATCAGTCATTTGTTTCCTATTTGAAGATTTTTACCCCTACGTTAATGAGTGACATTGGCTGCTAATTTTTCTTTCTTGTGCTGTCTTTGTGTTGAATGTCAAGGTTATACAAGTGTCACAGGAAAAGCTGGGTTTCATTCCCTCTTGTTCTAGACTCTTAAGGAGTTTGTCTAAGATTGAAATAATCTTTTCCTTGAGATGTTTGATAAAACACACTTGTAAAACCACCTGGGATGAGTGTTTATCTGGAAAAATATGTAAAGATATTGATTCAATTTCTGTAAGTTAAATAACCTATTCAATTTTTCTATTTCTTCTTGAGTCAGCTTTGCTAAATTACTTTTCTTCTATTTTGCCTTAGTTTTGAAATACTGGCATAAAGTTGCTAACGGTATTTTCTTACTATTTTAAAAATTTCTGCTGCATCTGTTCTTTGTGTTTGTAGATTTATTCCTTTATTTCATTTTAGTTTTGGGAGGAAGCAGAGATAACTCTGTGTGTTAAATCCATTACATTTATGAGAGCAAAATCACACAGAAGATTCATTCTTCCCTATCTATAAGACAGAGGCAATTACAGAACCCCCAAGGCTGTTGTAGTAAGAATTAAATGAATTAATATCTGCAAAGTGCTTAAGACAGTGTTTGGCACATAGTAAGGAATCAAAAATATCATGATTAAACGATAGAGAATTCAGTTCCACTGAGATGATGTCTTGTTCTTGTTGACTGAAGTTTAATAATCTAAAGCAATAGTAACTGGTTATGGATTAGACTCTTTCAAAGAGGTTATAATAGATATGGTTGACAATATACTCATTCTGAAATTCAGTCTGGGTGTCTGTGCCCTGAAATTATGAACTGCACATATGGTGTAAAATAAAATGTAAAACAAAGCAAGAGGTCTAGTATAGGCTATTCTTAACACATAGTGGGCAATACAAAAACTGAGTTCTTGATGAGCAATCAAGAACCAAAGAAAAAATAAAATAATGAAGAAAAAATAAAATATAATAAAAACCATAAGGAAAACTCTAGTAGTCTCAGACAGTTTTCATTATTAGGCAGCTTTTATTCATAGGTAAACACATAACTGATTTTATCCATAGGTCCTTCATTAGGGAACTCTCCGCTTACAAGATTTTTCTACCCTATCTAACACAGGGATACCTATTAGGCATTCTACTCCTAGTCAATTTCTGTACATAAGTTTTGTCTACAAACAAAAACAAAAACAGCAATAAACCCAGCAAACAGATATTGACTTATTCAGGGGAAAGTAAAGTGATACCTGTGATTTACTTTGAAATGCATAAAAAATAAGATGGATATCCTGTAATCCCAGGACTTTGGGAGGCCAAGGTGGGTGGATTACTTGAGGTCAGGAATTCGAGACCAGACTCGCCACCATGGCAAAAGCTCATCTCTACTAAAAATACACAAAGTAGCTGGGTGTGGTGGTGCATGCGTGTAATCTCAACTACTTGCATGACTGAGGCACAAGAATCACTTGAACCTGGGAGGCAGACGTTGCAGTGAGCCGAGATAGTGCCACTGCACTCCAGCCTGGGTGACAGAATAAGACTCTGTCTCAAAAAAAAAAAAAAAAAAAAAAAAAAGATGGATCAATGGATGGTATGGAAGATGAACAGTTGAATAAATACATGACAAAGATCTATACAATGTCACTAGTAGAATTTAAAAGGAAGTAGATCAGCATTCACTGTAAAATTATTTCAACTTTCTATAATGGCTTCAGAATTTTCATAAAACAACATTGGGGAAAATGTAAATTCTTATACTTAGCAAGTGAAAAACTGAAATAAAAGGAATATAAAAATATTTAAATTATACACACACCAAAAGCTATATAGAAAGTTCATTATAATTTATTTATTTATTTATTTATTTATTTATTTTGAGATGGAGTTTCGCTCTTGTTACCCAGGCAATCTCGGCTCACCACAACCTCTGCCTCCTGGGTTCAGGCAATTCTCCTGCCTCAGCCTCCCGAGTAGCTGGGACTACAGGCATGTGTTACCATGCCCAGTTAATTTTTGTATTTTTAGTAGAGACGGGGTTTCACCATGTTGACCAGGATGGTCTCGATCTCTTGACCTCGTGATTCACCCGTCTCGGCCTCCCAAAGTGCTGGGATTACAGGCGTGAGCCACCGCACCCGGCCTTCATTATAATTTATAAGAAAAACATCAAGACACCTATAAAATAAATGTGAAAGGATATTAACAAAATACAAATAAAAAATAAACCCATGGAAAATATTCAGTTACCTCTAACCAAAGAGGTAATTTTAAAATTAAAGCAAACCTGAAACACCACTGCACATCTACTTTCTTAGCTGAATTAAAACATTTGAGTGCGCACGCGTGCATGCACGCACGCACACACACACACACACACTCTCTATTTCCTGGCAAAGCTGCAGTGAAAATGGCATACTCATCTACAGCTGGCAGCCTTCACTGTAAACAAGTACCGCCTGTTTGGGAAGCAATTTGGCAGTCCCTAAGTCATAGTGCTTATCACGTCCTTTGACCTGGCACCCCACTCCTTAGAAGGTAACTGTTAACAGTCAAAAGATGTTCATTGCAGTATTATCTACTAAAATGATTAAATAATAATAAACAACCTAAATCGTCATCAAAAGAAGATTGAGTAAATAATGACACATCTGTATCACAAAATATGTAGATATTAAAAATATGAGAACACTTGAAGCTCATGCAGAAAACTGCAAAATGTTCATAACACATAATCGAATGGAAAGCTATTTATAATTGACTGTAAGACTACAGGAATAAATGAAATGTGCACTGGCACTGTAAAAAACACGAATAATTAATGAAAATGACATGTTGCCAAATAAAGGGATTGTAGCTGACTCCTTTTTCTAAAATTTTCTTTCATCTTGTTGATGTATCTTTCAATTAAAATTAAATCATTAAAAAGCCAGTCTTAAGACTGTCTACTCACAGTGCTGAGTTTGCTGCAAATGATGAGTATCCGGCGTTCGTAGAGCATACTGGCGTACAGATGCAACATGTTGTTGACATCCACAGCCACAAAATATTCTGTCAGATTTCTCTAGGAGAAAGAAGAAGGCACGGGTTGTAGGTTATTTTGTTTGTTCTTATTACAACAGTATCTAATAAGAGCATAAGAAACAGAAAATAATCAAAAAGTATACTCTCTTCTTCCCCCTGTCCTTTTCTTTCTGTCTGGGAAGCCAAATCCCCATCATGTATAAAATCATGAACCATCATGTTGGAAGAGCCCTTAGAGAGGAAGGAGCCTGAGCAATTACATCTTTGTGTCGTGATTACAGTTTACAACTGTGAGGTCACATCCAGCACTGCATTTGTGCCTTAGGTCAGTTTGTAAAGGTGAGCAGAACAGGAATTCTACTTATCTTACAAATGAAGAAATCAAGACTCAGAGAGATTCTCCAAGATGGAACAATCTAATAAGCAATGAAGACAGGACTGCTGCTCAAATCTTTGGGCCCCAGACCCTAGAACCTTTCTGATGTGCTGTGCCATACGCCTAAGCAAAAGAAAGTACCCAGGGACGAAAATGCTCCTGGCACAGAGCCCGTTTCTGTGCAGGAGATGCCACCCACGAAGGCCAGGCAAGCGCCTCTCCTGTCATCACTGCTGGTATCCCCTCCTTCACAGTTTACATTCGCTAAAATGGCTCAGCTGGAATTAAGGTAATTTCGAACATTTACAATTTCCAGGTATTTCACTCAAAAGGGGGAAAAAATAGAAGACAAACAGCAGCAAGTTGTGACAAAGCAGTGTTTTAACTAGCCTTCCCACCCACCCCACGGCCGCCCCCTGTAGCCTGGGCTTCATTCTTTTAATTAATACTATAGATTGGTACTCTTCAGATTTCAGAAAAAAAATGGAGTGTGTTTCATTTATACAATGCTTTCTATACCCACCTGACTTAATAATATACATGAATATGCTAATTTCTTCAATGTTACAGGTTTTCAATGCCACACAATATAATCCTCTGAAAATGAAAGGGGTTAGGGAGGGAAGAACGCTATTGCCAGGGATTGCAGTTTATAATGATTAAAGATCTGTAACCCATAAATTGAAATAAACCAGGTGGATTTTGCATGCAAAATAGCATAAAGTGATTTTCAACAATATTATGGGCTGGGAGTAAAAATGGGTACTTATCTTATAATTTATTATTGTTTGACTGAAGTACCAGGTTAACTGTCAACCTTTATAAATACAGAGCAAGTGAATTAATAGCTCTATATACTAACTAGCTATCAAGTGCCAGTCACTGTGCCAGACACTGTGGATGTGTAATTGTGCGGTCTTCACAAAAGTCCAGTAGGTGTTATTCTTTCCAGTATAAAGAAGTCTGGGAGAGGTCAGTAACTGGTGAAATCAGATCTGACTCCACAGCCTATAAGCTTTCCCTTATACCACACTGTCCCTCTTACGCACGTCCACTGTGTGCAAGGTTTACATTTATTACTACACATTTCACTTAATCTTCAAACTACTCCTTGAAACAAGTATTATTATCCCTCTATAAAGATGAGAAAACAGTGGTACAGAGAAATTGTATAGTTTGGCAAAGGTCACGCGGTAAGTGGGTGTGACATGATTCAGTCCTAAGAGGGTCTAAATCCGTGCTCTTTTCATATAACACTAAATTGTAGGTAAAAATCATATTTGGAAAAAGAAACAGAACAAGATCAAGTATGCCTAAAGAAAGGGAAATGCTTCTGTTAAAAATGACTGTTACCCCATTCACGGAGTGATCCATATGTGGCAGGCAACAGGTGCTTTTCCTGTGTTCATTCCAGTTTTCCCAACAACCCTGAGACAGGCAGTATCACCTCCACTTTATAGATGAGAACAAAACTGAGGCTTGGGAAGTCTCAGTAGACTTCTAAAGGTCACCAAGCTAGAAAGGGCAGAGCCATGTTTCGAAATCAGATCTCCTCAATCCAAAACGCATACCCTAACCACCACACCAACTTGCCTCCTAACAAACTCAGGGAAAAACAAAACAGCAAACACAAAAGGCAGATGGAAGGGATTGACCAGCGTATCTTGGTTCCTCTACTGGACGGAGGAATGCAGAGCTAATGATGTAAGGGTGGGGTTTGCTCTGAAGACGGTGACATGGCACAGCTCTCCTCACAAACAAAAATATGAGGCCCTTCACTGAGCATTTCAGTAAAAAGCTTAACTGCTGATGAATTACATGAATTTTTCTTTTAGGAGAGGATGGAAGTAAAAAGAAAATAGAAATGAGGAGCTTAAAGAAGGCCAGAAAGCCCATTAGCACTTCTGACAGATCCAAAGATAACTCTGAAGCCACCAAAACGTGGCCTCAAGAGTCTGCCAAGAAGCTTCACGCTGGGGAGAAATATGTTACACAGCTTGCCGTCCAAATAGGGAGACACAGCGTCAGAGACAAATCCTGCGCCTTATTTTGGTGGGAGAAAAAAAAAAAATCACACGGATACTTTTGTGGATGGGGAAGGGAACATTTCTGCAATAAAAACACCATTTGATTGAGGCATGTCCCCCATCTCCAATCAGATTCTTAGTGACTCAGGTGCTGGTTCCAAAAACTCTACACAGGTATGTTAAAAATACGTAACATTTAGCCAAATTCTCTCTAAACTGTCATGTACTTTTTTTGGTATTTCTCATCCCATCTGTGCTGATTACCAAGATATTTGTGTCTAAACAGAAGCTGTCTTTCTTATCTGCTTCCTCCCCTGCCTCTTTCCTTCTGGGATGCCACCCGCCTGAGCGGGTGGGAGTGGGTGGGAGTGCCAACAGCCCTGGGAACCTCGCTCAGCCATGGGAGCACCTGTGGGGCAGAGTGGGGCCCCGGGAGCAGCTGCAGGGAGCACTCACAGTTCCACCAAGCCTCAGCTCAGAAGCAGGCCCCACGGAGTCAGGAACCTCCCTCCCCCAGCCACACCAATCCTCACTCTCTCAGGCCTGCCATGCCTTTTCATACCCACAGGCCTTTACTTCTGCTGTGTCCTCTGCCTTGAATGTCCTGCTCTTCCTTGAGGGCACCTGCTTACTTTTCAAGACCCAGCTCTGATGTCATCTCTTCCCAGGAGACTTCCCCAACTCATCATTTGTCAAGCTCCCCCGTATGCTTCCATGGTCCCCACCTTACAGTAACTCAGTTTTAAGTATGTTTTTGCCACGAGACTGAGGTCCTGTTGGGTGAAGCTACTTCTCCCATCATCCAGCAGTTTGATAAGAGCAAGCTCGGTGCATGGAGGGAGCAATGGCTGAGTCCCTTGCTCAGGCGAGAGCAGTGCAGTGAGGAACACACCAGCCCGGAAGAGGAACCAGGTGGGACATTAGGAAGAATGTAGCATGTGACTCCAGAAAACCTGGCTCTGAGTCAAAGGAAGCAACTGATCACTCAGTAATGGTGAAGAACCCACAGAAAAAGAACTGACACTGGAAACTGCACAGAGGCAGGTAAGTAGCTGCGGATGGTGGAGGGAGGGAGGGGATGACTTTTCATGGTATCTGTGGCTGCATTTATTAAAAATGTGAATAAATTAGTGGTTTATCAGGTAACTAGGGTGAGGGCTGTACACAGAAGCAGGTAATCATTTTACAGCCAGGTCAACCATAGTTCTCCAATGGATAGATCAGAGGATAGGAAAAGGGAGGGCGTCCACACTAGGCTGTCTTTAGTCAAGACTATAGCCAGAACATATTATAAGCCTCTGCTGATAAAAGATAAGCCACTCTCCCAGTACTTTGTTTCTGTGGACTAAGTCCTCAACCTCCCATTTCTGTCGCCTATAATCAGGCAATGAACACACACTTACTTATTTAATTCCTACTATGTGCCTAGCACCCTCCTAGGAGCTAGGCTTGCAAAGATAAACTAACTGTGACCTCCATTTTCCTGCTTCGTCTGGGGTGGGAGGAACATCAGACTTAGAAATCTAGTATGCAATGTACTGTGGTTGAGGCTACACTCCAGGCACGGCTGACGAGCCTCAACCCCCTGGGTGGATATGCAGGGAAAGGCTAGAGAAGGTGTGATGGAGAAGACAATTGGTCTGGGCCTCCAAATGGGTTCACTCAGTGGACAAGGAAAGAAGCATATTCCAGGCAGAGGCAAAGACAAGGTGGGGAGAGGAGCCACAGGCAGGGAGGAGAGTGAGGGGCAGGGCAGGGCAGGGCGGGGCGGGGCGGGGTGGGAGAGCAGTGGGCAGCGGAGTTAGGTTTCTGTCCTGTGGGAGCCTACGCCTTGCCCCACAGGGAATAGGGCAGTGCTGAAGAATCCTGACATGATCCTATTTGTGTTTCAGCAAGAGCTTCCCAGAGGCTCTGTGGAGGACCGGTAAGAGGGCAAACAGGAGGCAGGACAGTCAACTAAGAGTCTGCTGCCATATTCTGGGAAAGAAATGATTAAAATATACATTAAAAAACCAATTTAGACAAAAGCTTTGGGTATGGATGTGACAGATACCTCTAAAGTAGAACCATAGGATTTGATGAATTAGACTTAGGGAAGGAGGAAAAAAATCTCAGATGACGCCTGGACTTCCAGATTACTATGCGCCATACTTGTCCACTTGCCCAAATAGTTTTTTAAAGGGAGAGTCCATTCATTTAGTAAAGGATAAATCCTCCTTCTAAAGTCCAATAATTCCTGTCAAACATGGTGTCCCTGGCCACCTAGTCCTAGGCCTAGTGTCCTGGGCTGTAATGCTACCATGCCTGAGCCTAAGTGACCACACTCTCTTCATTCTCTGCCAATTACTTCTCTGTGTGACTCACCTATTTGGAAAGGAAACCCTTGCTTCGAGGGCTAATTCCCAGTTTCTGTGCTTAAAAGGTCTCAGTTTTCTTAGTGGCAGTATGTTTTCAGGCTTGAGGATATTCCTTTCCCACTCATGGAGCTTAAGCGTTATTTCAGTTACACATATATTTATATCCTCAGGAGCAATGCCTCTCCACCTAGCACCTCTTCTGGCCATACTCTCTAGGGCTGGGTAGCACAGCTGCAAAGCTAACCACCACCAAGGTTGGAAAGGGCTCAAATATGAGCAA